ACAATAGCAGACAGATGTTTGATCAAAACAACTAAAAAAATTTGTTTGCACCTTATAAAACAATAACTATGAAACTTGATCTAGGTTCTGAAAATAATTTAAAAAAAGAGAATTCTAAGGTATCTCATACAATTGGCGAAGGCAATCGAACCATCAACAATCCTACTCAGTCGAGTGCAATCCAACACTATCCATAAATTCGACTCAATTCAGAAATAGAACAAAAGGTTCAATTGGAAACGGCAGCTCTGGAGGTATTTGTATGGAAAACGAGACAACGGTAGTAAACCAAAATTTACAAGCAAATGCTAGTAAACCCTTCCATAATACTGTACTCACCACCAACAAACACGGCGCAAGAGCTTCTCGGAAGCGAGAAAAAAGTGAGATCAAAACAATATGCACCCAAGAAATCAAAGAGCCTGTTAATTGAAGATTACCAAGAAACTTCAGCGGCCTTAGGCGAACCTTACGACAAAATAAGATCTGGTAAATTTAGAACAGAAAGTTACTTCCTGTCAGAAAACATCTGCTTAATTTACTTTTTATAACCTAAAACAGTGCTGCTTTTGATTCTACTTACTATTGGCTGGTCGTTACACAGTTCTTCAACCCTTGCTACTGGAATATTGCTCAGATCAGGCTTGGATTTTCAACTTTGACTTTTCGTGTTTCCACAAAACTCTTTTGTTTACTTAACTCATTACAACAACTTGAGTACCCTTCAGATATTTCTTTTACCACAGGCATTGGTGTGTTTCCACAAAACTCTTTAGTTTACTTAACTCATTACAACAACTTGAGTACCCTTCAGATATTTCTTTTACCACAGGCATTGGAAAAAAAACCATTAGTCTCATTAATTTTCTTTTGGCAGCTTAGTTTGTCGGCGGTGTTTTATGTTGTTTTAGATTACGATAATTCATTTGTGTAATGCTTAGGAAGCATATTGAGTAAAGCATGCTTCAGGGTCGCCCTTTGAAATGAATTTGGCATGTACATGGCACGCAGCTTTATTCGGCGGAGCACAATGTTCGAACTTTCATTCCAGCACTTTGAAAGGCTGAGTTTAGGGGACTCTGTCTCTGTCGGGTACTCATCGGGTCTGATAGCACGAATTTTGTGAAACTGTCGTCATCTACAAGCAATCTATGATCCTTGTGCAAAAAGCAAACCGCAATTTCTCATAGATCAGTTAATCATTCCCTCTGATAAAGACTTATGCTAGAAACGTTACCCTTAGAAACACTTTATGGTGGCCAATTTACATTATCAACTCGATTCAAATAAAACCAAATCATCTGCTGTTACCCCGACCGACGCAGCACCACAGTTTTATCAGAAACGTAGCCCCTTTATTTAGTTATATTATTGCCTCATTTATTTGAAGTTAATGATGCAAGGTATCGTGACAACCCTCGTGCAATAAGTAAATTTTTGAGCTTATCGGGCTGTATTCTGTTTTTATAAGCTTGATCGACAATTTAGTTCTTTGTGAAAGAGCAGCATTTGACAATTTGAATAATAAATCAATTACAGTGTGGCTTGCTCTTACAAAGCTTCCTTTTCTTTTATAGTACATCCTATTCTTTTTTAATTGTACGCATCTGTCGTATGGAATATGTCACGCGACTTTGAAGGAGCAGCTAAAGTGTTTCGAGAATCGAAATATGCTCTGCAAGACTTTGCTAATATTCCAAGCCCATTGGTCCCCTATGAGACATTCGTTCACCCACAAGCTGCGACAATGAACTTAACGCATGCAGTGATTAGCGTCTAGATTGAGATAACTGCCGTGATCAAAATGACTAGTAACACCTGGTTTATGTATGGTGTACCGAGGGTCAACCTATAAGTCACTGTTTGCGAATTCCAAGAGTAGCATGGTAGAAAAGGTTAAGTTGGAAACAGCTTCTCTGGAGGTATTTGTATGGAAAAGAGACAATGATAGTAAACCAAAATTTACAAGCAAATGCTAGTAAACCCCTTCCGTAACACTGTACTCACCACCAAAAAACATGATGCAAGAGCTTCTCGGAAGCGAAAAAAAAGTGAGATCAAAACAATATGCACCCAAGAAATCAAAGAGCCTGTTACTTGGAGATTACCAAGAAACTTCAGCGGCGTTCAGGCGTTAGGCGAAACTTACGACAAAATAAGATCTTGTAAATTTAGGGTAGAAAGTTACTTCTTGTCTACAAAACAACTATTTAATTTACTTTTTATAACCTAAAACAGTGCTGCTTTTGATTCTATTTACTATTTGGCTGGTCATTACACACTTCTTCAACTCATGCTACCGGAATATCGCTTATACAGGCTTGGATTTTCAACTTTGACTTTTCGTGTTTCCGCAATACTCTTTTGTTTCCTTAACACACTACAAAAACTTGAGTACTCTTGAAATATTTCTTTTACCACAGGCATTGGAAAAAAAACCATTAGTCTCGTTAATTTTCTATTGGCAGCTTAACTTGTCGGCAGTGTTTTATGTTGTTTTAGATTACGATAATTCCTTTGTATAATGATCTGGAAGCATATTTAGTAAAGCATGCAAAACTCTTTTGTTTACTTAACTCACTACAAGAACTTGAGTACTCTTTAGATATTTCTTTTACCACAAGCATTGAAAAAAAACCATTAGTCTCATTAATTTTCTTTTGGCAGCTTAATTTGTCGGCGGTGTTTTATGTTGTATTTGATTCGATGATACATGCTTCAGGGTCGCCGTTTGAAATAAATTTGGCATGCACACGGCAGCTTTATTCTCAGTTCGGAGCAAAATGTTCGAACATTCATTCCAGCACTTTGAAAGGCTGACTTTAGGGGTATTCTGTCTCCGTCGGGTACTCATGAACAATTTAGTTAACTGGTCTTCCTTTATTTCAAGATTGTCAGTTTATATGAATGACGAAACTAGCTCACATGCAAAAGAAATGCCCAAAAAAGGTCTGTTTTAACAATTTTCTCACTTTGAAAATGTACAGGCAATCCAATTATTTTTATCCTTCTGAAACTCAGATTCTAGCAATCTGTATTCTATTAACATTTGATTTTTAACAGCACGGAAAGTAGTAGACCGCTATGTATTAAAGGGAAATTCCCGTTCCTTTATCCGACTAAGCTTAACCTTTAACTCCTAAAAGTGATTACCATGTAACCTCTCCTTGTAAAATCTAAAAATTATCCAGCAAACAGGTCGTGAGAATACTCAAACTTATCAGGTAGAAGTTATCTCGATCTAACACCAAATTCTCGTAACTTATTTATGAGGAAATGTGTAGCAGCTAGATGGGAGAATTGACAATCAGATCTTGACAGCAAAAGAGTTAAGAAACTCACTGTCCCCTTGACTTTACTCCAGTTATAGATCAAGATTTCAAAGCTGAGAAACAAAAACATAGGCTCCTAGATGTGATTTTTTACTGGATTTATTGGAGCTTAGCTCTCTAAGCTTGCACAGGAGAGAGTCGCGGATCCTTTTAGGAAATTTCCTTGTCGCGATTAATATTTTCTATTTTTCCATATTGCTGCAAAAATTATTAAAGTTCGCTTTTTATTTTGCAGCAACCGATTATCCTCAGAGAACATCTATTCGGTGCAAGAATGGTCAAAAGAGTTTTTTCACAGACTGAGAAGTCTTTAATTTCCCTTCACGTAAAAAAATAAAGCAGATTAAAAGATCAGCCGAGTGTACTCGAACGGCGGGAAATTAATTGAGAAATTTGGTTGTCATCCAAATGAACGCAGGTGGTTCCGGTTTCATAGCTTTGCTAAGGCAGGTAAAAATAGCAATAGAGAACGAAACATAATGAAATATCACCAGCAAGTAGCCAATGACATTAAAAACTCACTGTGCTCTGAAACACTTTTTTAAATAATTGCCTTTTAACCCTTTCGCTCATATGATCTCATTAAAAATTCTCCTCACCGTCCACTTTATAATACTTATGATGTTGCTTTGGAGAAATTGGTATTGGATCAACATTTAGTCCCTTAATTGATATTTTTCTTCATATTGTATTATTCTTGTAGGGAGAAATTCTGCTTTGGTCACTCTCGGGAGTTAAAAGGCTTAATTCTAATCTCTCTTCAGCGATCGCTTGAAAAATAATAGGAAATCTGCAAGAGTGTGTTTTCAACATTAAAACCGGGATTATGATTACTTCGAATAAGTTTACTACATGCCGCACAGGTACCGACAGGTGTTGTGAAAAGTTGCTTAGTTTAGTTTTTTTCATTAGTACAAATTTATTTTTCTAGGAACCTTATTTACCCGACTATGTTGAATTCTAATTTTTCAACCAAATTTTCTTTTCTTTTGAATATTCTGAGATCCCCTAATATCAGTTAATATTCATGTAATTAGAATAATTATATGAAATCTCAGAGGTCCTCAGCTGTTTGAAAACACCGCTGGCTAGCATGCGTGTTGCTCGCTTTGCAAGTTGTGAGAATATCGTCCCTCGGATTGCAGACGCCGTCATTTCTCCCTCACCACCCCTCTAACTGGTCCTTAAATCCCCTTGAAGAAACTCTTCGACAGCCGGTGCTGAAGAGTTTTATTACAGTTTTTAGTATAGTGAAGAGCTGGAAAACAACAAGAGCTCCGCTTTTAGGCTCATCTAAATCTATATATATATATATTAGCTACTCTATCACTTTGAATCCATTTCAATAGTGTAGACTTTAAAAAGTATATTCGCCGTAATTTGATAGAATGATGGATATAGCGGTAGATAGTCGGGCATGGGCGATACAGGACTTGTGTCGTTATAGAACGACTAAGCTTCATAACAAGCTTGAACTTTCGCATCATGTAAGAAATATTGGTAGCTCGCGTTGCTTATCACAGGCCGCTCATCGAATATTTTCATAAAGGCCTCCAGAAAGTTCTCTAGGACAGACCAAAGAATTAGATTAAAATCATTGACGCTGGAACTGAAACAGGGCTGTTTGAAGCTGAGCTCAAAAAACTAGAATCGGACATCTCGCCTGAGATGATAAAAGAGGCAAAGAAGAAAAAGAACGATTTCATCTGCGTGTCTTTGAGCGGGCCGCCGATACCTCAGATTGAAACTGGGCAGTCCGATGCTTTGATTTGTAATACAGTAAATGGTTTAAACCCGGGGGTAACATGTAATAGTGTAGTTTGATCGTCCGGGTGAGTGTAGTCCTGAGAAGGACTGTTGTCGGTAACTGACGGTGACGGTGACTGACGTTTCGACAACCTGAGCGGAAGTCATCATCAGAGTCAAGTGGACTTGACTCTGATGATGACTTCCGCTCAGGTTGTCGAAACGTCAGTCACCACTACCGACAACAGTCCTTCTCAGGACTACACTCACCCGGACGATCAAACTACACTATTACATGCTTTGATTTGTGGTGGGTCAATCCTTATGAAAGAGCTGGTCCATCTACTTTCATGGAAATGATTAGAATGGTTCGAGCTGGTATGTCTTCCATAAGCTACAGGTTAACTAGGGATAGATATATTTGAACCACGTAGAAATTTATCCGTTGTTTGTTGTCGGACGTGACCTTGAAGAATCATTTTATCGCAGCTCCAATACATCTGTGGTTTAAAATACTTGCTCATAGAGTTTTTTCACAGACAGAAAAGTCTTTAATTTCCCGCAGAAAAAAGTGACCTACAAATAGACGTAAATCAAATCTTAAACATCACTCTATGATTGAAAATTTTAGGGCAGAATATATTTTTAACAAAAGAGATAAAAGGATGATTTAAGAAATATGCTCACGGAGTTTTAAGTCTTCATGAACACGCTGCAGAAAAAGACAGTCAAGTGAACGGACATTAAAACCTCATACTATACGGTAAATCTTTGAGGAAAGAACCTTTTTTGAGAAAAAAAATGGAAGAAGGATGATTTAAGATTGAGGAGTTAAAAGGATTACTGAAAAGGATAAACGTGTAAATTTCAGTTTTTGCTTGTTTGGAAGCAAATAAGGTATATTAGGAAACTACTTATTTAGATAGAAAAGGAAGCCTCAAGCTACCCCCTTCGGGATAAATTTCGTTAAAATCTGGGATGTGACCCTTTTAGCTGTCATACGAGGTCTTTGCAAATTCGTTCAAAGAATTCCTCATGATAAAGAATATCCGTCATCGTTGATAGATGTGTCTCTTCTCTTTTCCTTTTTGTTGGACGATGTACTGATAATTTGAGGAGAGGTTACAGATTGATTAAATGATAAATACGTCGAAGATTAAAAACAAGACCTTTTCTTTTCTTTTCAGATGGCCTCCTCTGTTTCAACACTGTGGTCTATGAATTAAGAGACTATCAAGAGGAGATAACAGAACTTGAAAAAGCTGGGAAGTGGATCTGCTTGTCCAAAGAGACTTTACCTTTCATTGCAACCAAGGGCTTGCCCGAAGAACGCGTGTGGTTCGTTTACAAAGTTTTGAAAAATTGAGACACATGCGCCATGGCCGTTGAGCCTTTCACACCTAAGATCTTATTGAAATTAATTCTTCCCACTAACTTCGAACAATAGCGTAGAATGGGTGTTAAATTACAAAATAAATCAAACTGGTTGACTGCCATTGCCTTGACGTTGTAATTTTTTTTAAACTTTTGAGGGTCGTTTCTCGAGAGTTATCTCAGAGGGCGTATGGTGATGGAAATCGGAAATCTTTTCTTAACAAATAACTGGTTGAGTCTTAGCTCAATATTTTAATTGAATAAAGTTCTCCTCAGTTGGGTACTTTAGACAAATTGGGTTTAATTTAAATTATTGTAATTGATGTGATGCCTATTGTGAACTGTGCATTAAGACGAGGATGAGGAATGCATAAGTAATTAAAGTGAAGGTTGGCATAAATTGTTGTTCAAATGTTACGCAGGCTTCGATTAATTCTCTGGCACTTGCCTCTCCTTAGACCTTATTTCTACAGGAATTCAATCTTCATTATCAAGTCTCCATTCACCTTTTCCATTCCCCATTCCCCATTCCTCATTTCCCATTCCTATTCTTCGTTCTCCACATTTCCCATCATCGCTTTTAGTAATATCCATTGCTAGTTCTTTCTCTCTATTCCCGGCAACGTCGCCCACACGGTGAAACGTAAATAAACTAGCAATAAAAAGAAAGGTGTTTGTTTCCAGGAGGGATGAGAACTCAATTTGCAAACGGATATGAAAGTATTGTGTGTTCTTCGTATGACTAACAATGACCAAACATACTTCATAATTTTCACACTACTCACACACGTTTTTTCCTTTCTTAACCGGCCAAATGGCTTTGTCCTGTGATCCGCTACGCTTGTGTGAAACGGCAGAATTCAGAAAAACCGAAAACAATACCCTGGAAAATTACCGACAACTCTCTCCGGAAAAAGGAAGCAAAAAGAAATCTTATTCGTATGCAAAAAACGCAGCCAGTTTTTTCAGTAGAGTTCCCCGCTCATCAGTCGCATGCTTTGCTGATTATTCGAAGAGAACGCTTCTGCTGAGATGCTCTTTTCAAGATTAACAGATTTTCAAATTGCGAATTCCAGTGGCGTTTGTGGCAACTCCTCACATAAAGAGCTTATGATTCAAGATCTTTTCATCATGAAATCATACAGCCTGTCAATGGTGGTGATTTTTAGCGTTGTTAATATCATGTTGGCTATTTTATCAAGCTGTGGAAATGCACTGGTGTTTTTGACGGTGGTAAGCTTTTCCGAGCTCCTCATTTCTTCCAATATTGGCTTAGCAAGCCTAGCGGCGGCAAACTTTTTCGAGGGTATACTCATTCACTGTTTGTGCGCCCAGGGTAGTTTTCTTGTTCTTGAGGACGGCTGTCCTCTACCAACTCTTGAACTTAAAATCGTCCAGTTTCTTACGAACATCTTCGTGTACAGCGCAGTACTTAATCTGGCACTTGTAACGCTTGAACGCTACGTTGGTATCATTCATTCCCTCCGTTATCATGCGATATTGTCCAGGCGAAGAATGGTAAATTTTATCTTTTCAATTTGGTTTGCGAGTCTTTTTATCAGCGTCCCATGTCTGTTTGACAATACGGCCATAAACAACATTTCTAATTCTGTGATGACGGTAACTCTTATTACAGCTCTAGTTGTAACATTTTATTTCAATTTAACAATTCATCACGCCTCCCTAAGGCAGCGCCGTGTAGTTCGTGCGCAAGAACAAATGATGCGTCAGTTCGCAGCCATCAATCAGCAGCGATATCGATTTAGAGGTGCAAAAACGATGCTTTTTATTTTCGTTGCTCTTGTACTTTGTTTCATGCCAGCTGTGGCAGCAAGAATCATACCACCTCACTCTGCAGAGTCAAGGATGCTTCGCGCGTGGTCTGGGACAATTTTTGGATTGCACAGTAGTATAAGTCCATTTGTTTACTTTTTCAGGTGTACAGAGCTTCGTAGATATACTCACAAACTTTTAAGACGTGGTCTACGGATTCTAAAAGTTTGATAACTATAGCTAAATGGGTCGAAACATAGGATAGGAAACGTTTTGTCAGTGAGTTTTAAATGTATAAGGAGAATCGAAATGATATAGCGCCAGTTGCATGAAAGTTTTCCAAAAGCGCTGATACAGCGTTCCCCATTAAAGTTTTATAGGGTGAAGGTTAGGATAAATCCTACTTTTGTCTCTTTTGGCTCAAAATTTGGTATAGATTCAACTATTTAGGTTTGAAATCGGGTAGGGATCTTGGACACTCTATCGAGTCGGGATCTGGAATTGGGCACGTTTTAGTGGACCCGACTTTTTGGGTGTTCTTTTTTTAAGGTCGGAAAGCAGGAAGAGATAAAAAAAATACTAATTTTTGTCTGACACAAGGTGTATGCCTTTCAATACCACTTTAAATCGATCAGATGCATCATGCCTCTCTCTCTACGCCAAATATTGCGATCTTTCCCTTCAAGATCGCAAAACTCACCCTAGCCTGCGAAACTGGTACTGTTTTGAGGACTCAGTGGAAGTGGAAGGGGCTGAATTGCGAAAGATATGAGCAAAGCTCATTTTTGTGGTCCGTCGCTCAAAAATATTAGGGAAACCGCCAGCTGCAAAGGCGAACTCGCTATTCAAAGGAGTGTACATTGCCTTATTCCGCACATCCGATTTTGTCAGTTCCACTTCTAAAAATTTCCTGAGGGTATTTGGTAGAATATTTACATAATCTGTCAACACCTAGCTGACTATGAAAGAGCCATTCATTAAATATTCATAGTTGTCACACTTGGGTGTCTTTCGTGTGATCTTCGCACTTCGACTACTAAAATACGTTCTGACTATTCTTCTCGGATGAGGCTGATTCCTTACGCTCTAACTGTATGGTAAGTCCATATTTCATCTTATTATTGTGTGAATTCGTAGAAAATCGGGTTTGGTTGGAAAATTATTGATTCTATCGCTATATAATCGATCCGCGACAAACCACGTGTTAGCCAAGATTTGATTCTTGTGGACGTTTCTCAATTCCAAGATAGACAGTTTCAATATTCCTCCATAAGGGCTATTAGAAAGTCCCCTCCACTTCAAGTCTCTCACTCTCAATTCCTTAACAGCTTATTATTGTGTGAATTCGCTGAAAATCGGGTTTGGTTGGAAAATTATTGATTCAATCGCTATATAATCGATCCGCGACAAACCACGTGTTAGCCAAGATTTGATTCTTGTGGACGGTTCTCAATTCCAAGATAGACAGTTTCAATATTCCTCCATAAGGGCTATTAGAAAGTCCCCTCCACTTCAAGTCTCTCACTCTCAATTCCTTAACAGCTTATTATTGTGTGAATTCGCTGAAAATCGGGTTTGGTTGGAAAATTATTGATTGCTATATAATCGATCCGTGACAAACCACGTGTTAGCCAAGATTTGATTCTTGTGGACGGTTCTCAATTCCAAGATAGACAGTTTCAATATTCCTCCATAAGGGCTATTAGAAAGTCCCCTCCACTTCAAGTCTCTCACTCTCAATTCCTTAACAGCGTTTAAGATGCAATTCGGCCGCAACATCAACTTGAATCCCTAATGGCACTATACGGATCAGTAAGCCGAATCACAACGCTTTAGCCTATGTTCACATTAGCGACTTATTGTGATTTAACTTTGAGACAGTAAACACTACAGTTAACCCAAGCTCGACATTACGCTAAGAAAGTGTTTTAACTTCGCTGTTATTGCTTGGAAGAAGGAAAATGTCAGATGAATCAGATGATCGCAGATTGTCTTGTAAACATGTTGAAAACTCCATCTGTTGTCCGGCGTTTAAATCTCTTTCTTTTCATTTAAGCAGGAGTAACACAAGCGGCGCAATGGAACACAGCGGAGTCAAAAATAGAAAACACAGTAGCGAGGAGAGGGAGAGGGGTAATGAGGCCCTTTCCTTTTTTTCTTCTTTTGACACACTTTCATCACGTTAGTCTTGTCTTAGCTTTTCTCATTCCATCATTTCCTTTTCGGACAGAAGAGTCAGACACTTGTGCCAATCTGCCTTACTTTGGATGCTTGTCTGTTATCAGCTGGTACTGTCCTATTTTGAATACTTGCATGGAATGGTACTGTACAATTTTGAACAATTTTGTCTATTATTGGACAGTCCATGCAATTTAGGAAACTTTTGACTGTTTTTGGATCATAGGGTTTGATTTTGAGCAATGTCTCTTTGGTGATGGCCTTATGGTCCAATTTTGGACACCTATGATTGTTTTACAATGCATTTAAGATGATAGTGCCTGTTTGTGACCTCATCTGTCAGTCTTTGGATGGTACCATTCGATTTTGACGACCTGTTGTCAGGAAAGGGTTCTTTGAAAAAAACTGTATACTAATCAAATGTGAATTTTGACTGGGGAAGGCTAGTTTGGTCTCTATGGTTTCCTCTTAGCATTTGCTTGTGTTGCAAAAATAGACCCTAGCTAATATGTCCTTGCCTGTGCACTTTTTTCAAAGATTGGAAACAAGAAATGAAGATAAAGCAAGCAACTCCATCATCATTTTATATTGGTGTTGTGGAGATAAAGTACTTTTATTTGAGGGTAAGTAAGTATTATTAACTGAGTTGATAACATAAATTGGCCGCAGTAAAGTAAAATTCAAAGCTGAGGTTTCAAGTGTTAGCCCTTCATCATTCGCTCTGATGAGGGGCTAATGCTCAAAACTTCAGCTTTGATACTCTTTACCATGGCCAATTTACCTTGTCAACTCAGTTGATAATACTAAATTACCTTGATATACTCACCAATGAAGCACCACAGTTTCCTTAGAAACTTATCCCTTTACTTCTGAATGAGTTGACCCAGCAACAGGTTAGATTGTCAACATCTATTGTGTGGCTGAGACTAGCATGGTGCAGCACCATCCATATAGTCCAGAGGCTTCTCTTTTGTATAGCCACTGATGTCTTACATATCAGTTATGCTTACTTAACTTCCTTTTTTCTAATAAGCAATAATTAATTTTAAGAGTTACACATCAATGTGCTGACACATGGATGATCACATGCACAGCTATCGCCGGGAGGCGGTTCTTAGTCTGCCCATCCCATCTCCCGCTGTGCTACAGTAAAACCCAATCTTCTATGTCAGTGTAGGGTTTGCACTTCCTACACGGATAAGTACACTTGGCACATTCAGTTTCATAATTCAAGTAACTTTTTTTTTTTGGTTATTTCCCTTTATTTATTTGTCTGCAACTATGGCTAGATTTCCATCTACACCAAGTTATTCCTAAAGTTTTTATGGTAGCAAATTTCGTTTACCCATTTCACATTCACATTCAGTTTCATAATTCAAGTAACTATTTTTTTTTTGTTTATTTCCCTTTATTTATTTGTCTGCAACTATGGCTAGATTTCCATCTACACCAAGTTATTCCTAAAGTTTTTATGGTAGCAAATGTCGTTTACCCATTTCAGACCAGGTAACCAATCTATGACATATGAAGCTAGGTGACATTTTGATTGAGTGTCGAAAACAAAAACTAATTAAATCACAACTGCAAAGGAGAAGAATGGATAAAATCTCAAGGGGCTAATAAGAGCTCAGAGTAAACCACAGAAACTTCCTAGAGCATGGGAAAATGCAAGTGACCAGCTTACAACTGAGTTTAGTTTTGCTTCTGTTTAGCTGTGTGATTTGTGGGGCGCCAGTTCCAGACCAATTTAACACTGTCATGGAGCAAAACCAGTTAAAAACTGGAACTTTAACTACATATACTTTACGGAGCTTTAACTACATGTACTTTGTAACTTAAACGCTTGCTCATAATCAAATGATTTGTTTATGGTTGAAATAATTTTTTGTGCTCAATAGGCGTCATGTTAACCTCTTCATCTTTTGAAAGCAATTCCTCTTAATAAGGGAACATCAGGTATTAATGCTGGACTTATGTACTTACATGAAATTGAAACAAACAAACACACTTATCTTAACTTTTGGCTGACTTATCACAGGTCCTTGACAGCATTGACTTTTGTGTCTGATGAGTGAGAGGAATAACTTTTAAGTTAAAGTTGATATAAAAAGCCAGAGTTGCCCTGAGGGTGTGTAACATTTAGGCAGGAGGTCAGCACACTAAGGTAAGGAAGAAAATTAATCTGTAAAGTGTGCTTAGAATATACTTTGGTTTGTTAAAACAAATTTTTGAAATATCTCCTTCACTGGTTGATGTCAACATATGTTCTTTGTTTTACTCTATGGTACAAAATTAAAAATTAATAATTGATAGTTTAGTTTTCTTGTTTATAATATATCTGCCTTTGATCCTTATGTATTATGCTTTGAAATCAAGAAGCCTTGTACATGTAGCTTTTTATGACCCTTGGCTACTTATAGTACTATTTTATATTGAATAATATTATAATAGATTTACAATAAAATAATAAACTGAAAGTGTAAACTGACAACCTTGGGCAACAAAATCAGAAACATGGAACCAAAGACTTTCATGTATTCTCGACTGGTTTTTTCATTGGTTTTAAAAGCAATTTCCTCCTTGTTTTTTTGAGAGCTTTTTTTTTACTATTTCATAAGTTAAAAATCATTGTTAAAGAATAAATTGCTATCACCTTCAGATGCAATTTTCAAAACATCATTGCTTTTCTTTTATTTTGTTTGTTTCTCCTTATTGCTGCAAGCACAGCTATCGCCGGGAAGCAGTCCTTAGTCTGTTTTCCCATCTCCCGCTGTGCTACATTAGAACCCAGTCTACTGAGTCGACATAGCAGTTACAGTTTCTTTGTCGACAATTACACAGCCTGGAACAAAGAATAAATCACTACATAAATTTCGAAAGAAAGAGATACACTCTAATAAATATGGAAATAAAATCATGATCATCTGTTGATGCATACTGAAGCTATTATATGTTAGTGAATTGAGGAACACTAGAATTACTCACAATTTTTAATCTTCAACTGTCACATGAATCCTTCATGCACTAACAAAAGCACTCCTACTTTAATTTGTAAAATTAAACTTTCAGAGAAATAGCTCTTTGTCTTGTAATAAAACCTTCATGTATGCAGTGGTTGTACATGTATATTGGGTTGTTGCCATCATCCTCTTTTGTGGTCTGAAAACCAGGATGAGGAAAGAAGGGGAAAATTCAGATATACATTTATCCATATTAGTAGTAACTAACTAAATGTGCTCTGTTTTGGTACTAGGCAGCAGAAAGAACTCCAAAGGCTAAACTCTCACTTCAAAAGAACTCTATAATGCCAGTTGAAGACAGCCCATAGATGGGGAGTGAAAAACACCCATGAAAGGAGTGCTGGAATGGATATATTTTTAGAAGCTTTTAATCATTGGCCTTCTTCCCTTTCTTGGAACTAATTCAACTTAGAGGAGATAAACTTTACAGTCAAGTCTTAATAGTGTGGTTCAAGAGCAAAGTGAAAGGTAATTAATCTGACAATGGATTCATTTTGGGGTTGATTATGTAATTCTTATGTAATTCTTAGCCAGCTATGGCATTGAATTCCCTTCAAGCTTGGATTTTTTCTTGCCTCATTATCTCCGCAATAATCTGATTTACTGGTAATAGGGTGTTACTTATTCATTTATTTACCTCTCTCATCTTGTTGTCATTAGGTCAACAACTGCTGGTTATAGGATCTGAAGACTCAGAGCTTAGGACTTCCCAGAAGTCACATCACAAGAAACCAACTCAAAAACGGAAATTGTCAAGAGGTCTCATATGATTCATATGGATCTTTCTCGTTTTGTGTAATCCAATGAAGCTGGTGATGACTGATGGAATATTCAAATTTGGTGCCAATAGACATTTAGAGCATCCTTGTCAGATGAAAGGAATTTAATTGTGTATGGTAAAGGTAAAAGGTAAAGAGAGTTAATGACTTACACTGTCCTTGATGCAAGATGTAATGAGAAAGTGTCCAACCTTTAAGTCAAGTTGTTCTCTGTGTTTCTGTATCATGTTGCATTCAAGGCAAAACCAGTGAATAAAAACGTGGCAAAAGGAGAGTATTATGTTAGTTGAGGCAAAGTTGTTGTGAAGGAAAACAGGAAGTTTATTTAAATTACTGTATTGAGCAGAACTTGTTTAGATGATCAGTCAGCTTAATCATGGAGAAGATAAACATGAAAGATACCAACTCTTGTTTAGAGATGAACAATTTTGAAGCAATCTGGAAACAATCTTAAACTCAGTTTAACACTCAACACCCTAACATCAGTATGCATATTCTCCATACTGTTCTCTATACATTTCTCAAGTGCTGACAAGGAAAATGTGTTTAACAATCAAGAGCTTGTTTAATTGGTGATCATTTTGTTTATTCTTGTCCTTAATATGTGATTCTGGGGGGATACTATTAGGAGAAATTGGACATTAGTCACTTCTAGGGATCAAATGGTTAAACTTTGCCTACTTAAGTGGGGAATCTTCTCGAAATAATTTTTCTGCTTAATAGAGTTTTAGAAATTGAAAGGAGAATCAACATGTTGGTCATCCAAGTACATTTTACAGAATAAGAAGTATTAGCATAACTGCTCAGGAGGTTATAGAGATTTTCATGTCTTTCATTGTTCAGGAACTTCACTATACAGGAGGTGATTATGGCAGGGGGTTAAATTTCAGATTGATCTGGCAGCAGTTGGCTTATTGTAAGGCAAATCAAACCTCTTAAACACTTTCTTGGAAACAAATGTAGACATGATCATGATAATATTCATTGAGTTGTTGCTTCTGTCATATGCATGTTACTATTGACCAAGTAATGTACAGGCAAGACATTGTGTATATGTTCTGAGATAAGTGACGAGTTGGAAGCAAAATATTATTTTGATATATGATTTGCAATTTGCTTTGACAATTACCTGAACAACTATGACAAAAGAATTATTTTACTCAGGCTCAGTGAATGTTGGTAGATAATTCCCATGCCTTCATTTCAAGGATTATTCAGTAATATTCACTTCACCTTCAACAAAAATTTTTTAAAAAGGCTTTATGGAAATTATGCACACTTTAACTTTTGCTTGGTGTGATGTTATTGTCTACTTCAGACTGTATTTTGCCTTTGATATCCTGGTTTTGTTTGAAATACTTTAAGTATATTTGGTCACACTTTTGCACAATAATAGTTACAAATTACAATTGCATTGCACTGGATTTTAATAAGTCTTCAAGCATATTGTAAGCAATGCCCTTAGATGAAGTGATATAATGTAATGACGAAATCTTGAAATTTTTATTTTACTTTTAACCAGATGAGGAGTACCATAGACACCTAAGTTACCATAGTGGTATTCAGTATCTTAGTGTTATAGTTATGTTTACATATAACAATAAACTGCCTTATTTAAACCATGGCTTGGCCACTGTCTATGCTTGACTTGATTTGACAATAGAATTATTAAGTTGATGGCAAAAAAAATTATATACATGTCGAAGTAATTGCTAAGACCTGAGATTTTTGTACATTGCTAATTCATGCACGATTACCGCTAGTTCTCATACATTATGAAAATATTTGAGAATATAGGAAATAATAATAATAATAATAATAATAATAACCATTTTAAGAAGGTTTTGCTTGTCAAACAATTCTCCTTGTCAGTCAGTACCACAGGAAATGTGAAAAGAAAATTGTTGAGAATCTGAATATTAGGGTTAGGGTGTGAAGGGTTAACTCTTTACGCCCTAACATCAGTATGGATATTCTCCAAACTGTTCTCCATACATTTCCAAAGAGGCTGACAAGGAGAATTTGCTTAACAATCAAGAGCTGCTTAAGTTGGTGATCATCCCTTCTATTCTCATGACTTTCATGTTTGATTCAGGGGTGTTATATTAGGGAGAGATTAGATGCTAATCACTCTTACGGGTTAAGACCAACATCTACTACGAGCAAGCAACATCACAACTCGTAAATTTTACCCCTCCCCCCCAGCATGCCAGAGAAATGTTACTATTAGAAGACTAGATGGTGGAGGCTGAAAAAGAACAAATGTCTTCTTTAAAGTGGCTCAAAGTGGTTTTGTTATTTCAGAAAATTATTTGATGGATCAATGCTACAACACTTTTTCGGGTGTTACCCGATAAAGATGGCGTCAGAAAAACGTCCAATTATTTCTTAACGTATTTCCGTGTTTTATAACAAATAGCGTTACCATCGCAACGCTACAGCTCTTGGAAACACGTTTGATTATCGCTGTATGTGTCTGTTCATTAAAAAAAACTAGCTCGGGGACTTCCATTTTCCCCAGGTACCATGCAAGACACTTCACTCTCCCAGTGCTTCTCTCCACCCAGGCGTATAAATGAGTACCAGTGAATTTTCAAGGACGCCTGCTGAAATGCTGAGGGGTAAACTTGCGATGGATTATCATCCTTTCTAGGGGGGAGTAGTAATACTCCTAGTCCTTTCATGCTTCTTGGAAACCGGGATAAGCTCCGGCTGGGTGGGCCAACTCAGTACAAAATTTATCTTTTTACCTTATTAAAATACAATCAGCATATCAATGATCATCTTTCTGCAAAGTTTTGATAAAGAAAAATTCCGTATTTAATGCTCAGCCCAGGGTAACCTTACATTAACAAAACTAAGATGACTCTGAGCTTTAAGTGTAGCGTTGTTCAAAACTTTGCAGAAAGATACATCTTGAGATATTAATTGCAATCCAGTAATAAGAGGCGGAGGTCACCCACCTTGTTTTTGTGTTACAGGAACATAACTCAAAGACTGAGGGTGTTTTTGAGGGACATAAGTGGTAACCTCAGTTGCCAAAAATAAAGATCACATTGTTTTGTTTTGTTAAACCAAGTTTTATTTCATAGTGTTTATGTTTTTTATTTAGTTCTTTTTTTTCTTTTTTTTTTCTTTTATGTTTGCTATTTTTCTTTTGTTTTGTCTTGTTATTTTTATAACCATCTTCGAAGAATCCCCCCCACAAACAGGAAAGGCCCGGGAGACGAAGGAAGAGAAGGAAGGGTGCCGCCCTTGTCGGCCCGCCATTCAAAGTGGGGAAAATAATTTGAATAACAAATAATTTTGAAATTAATATTCACATTTGCGACCAGTTTTGCACGTGGAAAGAGCTTACGAACTACAAGAAACATCACGGTCTTTTGCAGCTATTTTGGGCCAAGAAATATTTCAGTTTAACTGTATTATCTTGAATATCGTCAGTTCAGTCAAGGCCGACATGTGTTTCCTCGAGTTTATTGACGGGATAGTGTGGTTTTAATTCAATCTCGAGGATCAATTGATGTCAATTCGTAAACAATGTACTCGAGGTAGGTTACCTTCTTATGAACTCCATTATTGAAAGAATTACAGTTTCCTTCATTTATTTGTTGCTCTTAAAAATGAAATGACGGAGTTAGATGTTAAGAAAAGAACATGTTTTGCACCATAAATAATAAGACACATCTTAAACAGCAGCCGCCATGATATATTGAATCACGTGACTTTTAGAGCACAAGCTAGAAATTCTTAATTCATTGTCGATGTGTTGATCGCTTATTTGCTTATGTATTTAATTCCATTATTTTACTTTTTCATAATGTAAATCGTTTCATATGTCAGGATTTACACATAATCCCATAATTCTTTATCTACGTGTATATGGCTCTTTGATAAAAGAACCATATGGCATGGTTCTTTATATAGCATATATCTATATATATCCATATCTATCTATATATATAAGGTGGTGCGATTTAATCGTGCTTGTCATTTTGCTAACACCTAGCCTCCCGCCATAGAGAGTAGAACCCTTTTTCTGGAGACCAGAAGCCCTCTTTCCATCCTTAGTGTCAAGAGTAAAAATTACTCAAACTCTCGTTTTGTTGACTATTTCTTTATTCTCTCTTCTACACTAGTTATCACAACGGGGACTAGCTCTGATCTCTAGCTCTGATCTTAGATGTCTTTGTTTTTCTTTCTAGGACAGCGGTGAGGACGAAAATCGAGAAGTGCGGAGGAATGTGTCAAACAGAATAAGAAGCGTTTAGATTCGAGAAGCTCAAGGCAGGAAAGTTGCAGGATAACTTTCAACAAGGTTAGCCAATTAATTTTTATTGTCTTTTCATAAGTGCTATTTAACAGAGTGAGCCCGGTAATCCCCTGTTTATGTCATCGAGTATATATTTACTAAATCATTTGAATTTAGTAAATAACACTTTTTGTTGTTCTCATTCGAATTAACGATGTTAAAATGTAAGTTGAGTTTGCATCAGACGTTTAAACCTGGACTAAACGAACGTCTGCAATTAAAATTAACCAGATTTAAAACAGAAGGAAATTAGATCTGAAGGTGAAATCTGATTTCCTCCATGTCTGATTTCGTAGACCTCTCTTTCATTTTTAAATTGGTTTTTAGTAACTTACAGCAAGGTTGTTTCGATAAATCAGAAAACAATTTTGTCTCTTCGACATCAAAACACTAATGTTTAAGGAATACTCAGTGCTCTTCGTGCATGTTATGACCATTCATCTGTTTGTTAAAGTTACCATAGCAACAGTTTGGCCGGTCCAATGCTCTTTCATTTTAAGAATAAGCTTTTAGTCATCATACTCATTTGCCAAAGATTTCCTCGGTTGATAGATACTACATGAACATGAAATGGAGCCTAATTTGCAATAGCCTTGTGTGTTATACCCAAATCCTAAGAGCGGAATTTGTTTTCAATTCTCTAGAAAAAGAAAACTTTGATCAGCCACTATCATTATTATTATTATTAGTAGTAGTAGTAGTAGTAGTAGTAGTAGTAGTAGTAGTAGTAGTAGTAGTAGTAGTAGTAGTGTTATTTCATGCAAAAAAATAATTTCGTTTAATTCAGTTCACAAAGGATTTGGAGCTGGACTGTTGAATTTCTCGTCATTTGAGGAAAAGACCAAGCTTCAAACACAGTTCTCCAACTGTTTTATTCGTTATTTTTTTTTATCCTTCTCTCGAGAGCCATTTTTCTCTTGATCTCCTATGGTAATAATAATGATAATTTTCAAGAAATTAGGAAACATTTTACTCGACTCGGTTATAAACTTGGAGCCTATCGATATAGTCAAGTGTTTTAGCTTGGAGGGTGAGGCCAAATTCAATGTGTCCTAGTTTATCAAGTTCTCTGGTAAGATCTGATGTATAATTGTCGCGACTGAACATTGTCATTTTTGTTAAGTCTTTTTTTTTTATCTTGTTTGTACGCATTGTGTGCCATTGCTTTAGTGACGTCTAGGTCATGTGATTTATGCTACTTCGTGGTTGAAAATGTGAAAATAAATGGTTGAGTGCTGGAAAACAGTCCTTGTTTCTGTGGACGAAGCGTTTACATGATAATGATATTTTCTATTGATTAGGGAATTTTGCTTGATTAAACAAAAACAGTGGAGCCTAACGAAGGCTTTTTGGAATTTGTTTTTAATTCTATAGAAAGTGAAAGTTTCTATCATTGTTATTATTTTGAAGAGAGTTGAGCAAAAATGTTTACACAATGTATTTCAAAGGTGTTTTAAGAGACCAACAGTTCTTTTCTCAACAATCTGATGTCGATAAGCGTCATGGGCTGTTTCGTCGTCAGATGTTTCTCGCAGAAGACACAAAAAGTTGTCTCCACACAGACGTGAAGTCGAAAGAGTTTTCTATTTTTTAACTCTCTCACCCCTAAGAGCGATTGGCTTCTGATTCCTCTTTACAGTATCACCCTTGTCAAACAATTCTCCTTGTAAGTCAGTACCACAGGAAATATAAAAAGAAAATTATAGAGAATCTGAATATTAGGGTTAGGGTATGAAGGGTTAACTCTTTACGCCCCAACATCAGTATGGATATTCTCCATACAGTTCTCCATACATTTCCAAAGAGGCTGACGAGGAGAATTTGTTTAACAATCAAGAGCTGCTTAAGTTGGTGATCATCTCCTCTATTCTCATGACTTGCATGTTTGATTCAGGGGGGTGTCTTGAAGCTTAAGCCAAATTGAATAATTTTTTCTCAAAGATAGACGCTCCCAAATTGTTTCTAAAGTTCATCATCAACTGACATGACCGTTCATACTTAATTCAAGACAATGTATAGGAGCCCGGTTGTTAAAAGTCATAGCGGTTGAGGCTAAAATTATACGGTGGTTATGTTCCAACTAGATAACGCCCACTTCGAAATATTTTTTCGAGGGTCTTCTTGATGACATAGACTTTTCTCATCTAATTTGAGCGAAAATCTTGGAGCCCAATTGATAAGTGTCTTAGGTCTTAAGCTTAATTCAAAGAACAAGTTCCATAACTTTATTTTTCTCAAATTTTTCTTAGAATTAATTTTCAAAGCTTGGAGAGGTTTTTGATACCCAGTAGGGAATATTTAAAGGTTTCTTTTGTGTGCTTATTTAAATACAAGCTCCTAGATCATTAAAATACATCTTTCCTCCTGAATAAAAATTTAAGGAGACCGACGTCACATCTCTTTTATCTAATATTGCTATGATACCAAAGAAATCTGGTTTTTCATGGGAAATAAATATATTAAACAATTCAAAGATGTTGGAATAACGACGAGGAAAAAGTTCATCCAAGGGAATCTACATAAATAGAAAATAATGATTTCATGATTTCATCGCAGGGTCTGTTCAAATTTTACTGCAAAATGTCTCCGCTGAAAGATTTATCTCAAATAGCCCACATTCTTCTAGTTTGATTTACGAGAGAAAAATTTAAAATCTCGTGTTTTCACAGTTCTAATAGCTTGTTTTCACATGACGTAATGGTGTCCATGTTATTGTCTTAGGCTTTCCTATGGGATTTGAAATCATTCCATTTGGCAACTATTTCTTTGGCTCGAATAAATTTACATAGCTGCACAGCATGTTATTGATTTTTTTTTGTTTTGTTTTTATAACGTTTTGTCTGTTACCTCATTCTTGAAAACTGAACAAACTCTCTCAATTAGAACTAAACTAAAACTCAATTCAATTGAGCTCTTCGGAGAACTGCGAATGAATCAATTTCTTAACCTAGGAACAAGAGATTATAATTCTTTTTAACTCCACACTCATAACAACAGCTACTACAAATTAAAATAGCAGCCATGAGGAGTCTTAATAATTGGTCATCTGCGCATTCCTGCGAAAATATTTCACTTCATTATTGTTACAATTGAAATGTCATTTAGTCTAAAGTTTGCAGCTTTTAATTCTCGAAAGACGTCCCTTAGGGTTTTTTTTAATTATTATTCAAATATCTACAAATTTCCAGCAATTACTATGCGTCAGACTTTAAAACTTTAACTCTATTTGGTGCAAGTGAGGTTTGTTAAAAAAGATAGGATCATTTGAACCTTAAAGGAATTTTTTCGCCAAAAATGTGAACAGCAGTTAGGGGGTGAAAGTTCAATGTAGACTCGGTTGATACGATTTAAGCCTTGGAAACCAGGAGCCCATGGGCTCCTGTGGAAACTTAATTTATGCAACTATCAACCATCATATTTTAATTTGTCGTTCTAAGAAGAATTTTTGACACGAAAATGTTTGTTGTGGCTTTGATATAACCTGTCAGCTAATAATTAAACGGCTCATTCCTAGAACACAGGAACGAGACAAAGTTAACTTAAATTGAAGTTTATTCCTACAGCAAATTCTGATAATAGTATTGAATCTATCAGAAAATACGGGTTACTTTCTCGTTCCTTAATACGATCACTCGACAGTTTAGGACTTAAACACTTATTTTACCTCGTCCAAATGAGTTCAGCATTGGTTCATGTTCGATTTCATTTGTAGATTTCTCGTTTATTTTTATTTTCTTGCAGACTGAAAGCCTAATATCTCTGATGCTTCAAGCGCAAGTCAACAAAGTGAAAGACAGATTTCTAAGAAAACAGATGCAGCACATTTCTGGCAAGAATAATCTGCTAAAATCTAAGAGTTAAAGCAGAAAAACACCATTTCGCGATTTTGTTGGAATTTTGAAAAACTCATGCAAAGGGCTTTGTGATTTTAAAAAGATTTTCCCGATGAAAAACATAAAAATACGCATGCGCCAATTTTTCCTTTATTCGTTCTGTAAGTAACATCTGTTCAAATGTGGCGAATTTTCCCGCCAAAAGACTTAGAAAAAATACGGTGCTTTAAATACGCATGCGCTGTTTTTTTTTTTTTAAAAAAATCAAGATGAATTTTGCTAATAAACTCTATGTTTATTTCCTTGTTATCTTGTATTATTTTCATCTACCTATATTTGGCAAGTCAATAAAGCGAAGTGTTCATCGGTTTTTATTTTTTCTCAAATATACTCAATAAGTCACGAAAGGTTTTTATTTGTTTTAAATTCTCATTAATCATAACTTGATTAACTGGTCATTTTCAATAAAAAGTTGTTCTAACAAATTTTCCGTATATATACTAAGACTTTTGGCGGGAAAATTTGGACCATTTTGCACAGAGTTCTCCCTAGCAACTTTTCGCCAAAAGAATAAAAAAATTACCTCGTGCAAAAAAAATCGAAGAAGAAAGTCAAATTTTCCTTTTAACAAAAACTTTTTTGCACGAGATAATGCTCTCACAACGAAATACCAAAAAGCAGTACAAAAAGATTTAACTTTCCGATGAAAATTTTCAAGGTCATATATACCCTATCTTTCCTCACATTTTAGTGATTTCTTTGCCAATTTCATTTCTATTTCTTTAAGCTTGAAACTTTTCATGTTGCCTTTTACAGAACAATAACAGTTCATATTGCCAGCTTTAGCTTGTAACCCAGGGCACACGAAACTTAAAGCGCACCGAAGATTTTAAAAGTTAAAAGTTTTAAAAGTACGCCTTATAAAATTGAAACGTAGATAATCCTCCTTAGGTAAGAGCGTTTATTTTAATTGCAATCCCTAAGCAATTTTCCACTGAATTGACCATAAATTCGAAGACAAGGGGAAGTGTCCATGTTGTTTTATACTTGAGACACAGTAACAATTTAATTGCTACGCACACTGTCTGCCAAAACGTTCTTAATATATCTTTTTTTTTTGGTAGTCTTAAGACCAACTCTTCCATTTCGTACTGTTGTCAGTCTGGTTGAAGACTCGAGCAAGCTGAGAGATGTGTTTTTTTTTGTTCAAGAAAATAACAATTAAATCGCTCGGCTCAATGTCGATAAGAAAAGTTTTTGACGAGGAATGTTTGCATTTTTCAAGCAGTTCGTCAAAAAACTGAATTTTCTTTTCTGCTCCACATCAGTTTGGTCTAGGAAATAAACCAGAAATGACTAAGATAATTAAATTGCTCTACCCCTTCTGTCGCAAAGTTTTAAAAGGAAAAAAAATCCGGCGGTGAATTTTCTCTCTTGCTGCTTACCAAAAAAGCTTTGTTTTCATTAGAAAAATATGCGTCTTTTGTGTCCTGCGTTACAAGAAATACTAGCACCAATTGTTATTTCTCCTATTTCAGTTTATTAAAAATTACAATAAAATACAGTGTCTGGTCGAAGAAAAGAAAGAGTTTGAGTTCGTTCCTTTCTCGAAAAACGAGATTTCGACAACAAGAATCGAGACAAAAAAATCTACATAGATGCTGTTCTTCTATCTTATCATCTTACTGGTTCTGATTTTGTGAAGACGATAAAGTGAAAATTAAACAGCTAGATAATCAAGCGAAAATTAACTCCTTCCAATCAAATTGCTCTATTTTGAGCGTTGTTTTAATTGTATATTCCTTTAATTAAGACAATGGATCTGTTGACGCTTTGGTAAGAAAGCTAACGAGCATAATCTTCAGCAGTTTCTCGAGATCGTTGCATTTCAATCTTCTCGGAACCAGACACTGTGGTTTGTAATTAACTATAACCGACAAGAGAACAATGGCAGAAAGCAATATTGTATGTTGCTTTTGAATTGCGTTTCGAAAATCAGAGCGATTCATTTTTAAGTTCAGTGAAACTTTCCTAGTCAGTGGAACCAATCACTGGTCACGGGCCCGATTGGTCAGTGACGTGTCAGTCAAGGTGGACAGTATTATCTTGAGATCCTCGATGTCATGTCGTGAGCAAGTCGTTTGTAAGGTACAACTGTTGGGCATCAGTGTTCCATAATGGTATCCTTCTATACAAGAATTTTTTTCTGTTCTGGTGAATCAGTTTCTCTGGAGTCAGCAGTTGATGTTATCAGTTAAATTTACCAGTGTTTCTTACGAAACTGTACTCATGTGATCACCGACATCACAATTTCTCGATACAAAAAGTCTCGCTATTAATCCACTCTTTACATGTCGTTAGGTAAACAACCTGGGCGAGGGTCATTCTTGAAGTCAAGTGAATTGTTATTCGGTAGAATGTTAATTTTCTGGTTGATAATGCGCCCTGATTGGTCGGTCATGCAGTCATAGAGGACTCATGACTCGAGCACTAATGGTCGACATAAAGTTTTCGAGACGAGTCTGCTCTAAGTTGAGTGATCAAACTTACAAAAGTCTGTCGTTTTAATTTGTTAGAGAAAAAGAGTCCTGATAAACGATGTGGTTGTAAGTCAACGTGCACTGAATACCAGAACTGGCATCACAATGTCTTGCTCCCCCTGTCTGGAATAACGGATATCGTTACCAAACTGATAGAAGTCAGTTCAGTTCGTTTCAGCTGTCTTAGTTGTTTGGTGAGTGTTTCCTTCACTTAATATGTTTAATACATCGAGTTTCGAGTAGCTTTTCTTTAAGAAGATAAGGTTATCTTCGACTCAAAAAAAGCAAAATGCAAATAAAAAGAAAAATCCATTGTTCTCTTGTCGATAATAGGCTATCAACTTAATAGTTATACAAATCGTTGTAATTAAAGTGGAACTGTCAAATGTACGAACTGACAACTGATATAAAAACCAGTCCTAAGTGATAAATTATTTCTCTTTTGATTAAATGAACGCAAACGGAGAAAAATCTCTTGTTCGTCTATTTCTCCAAAGACGACAAACAGACAAGTGACTACTTATGCTACTACAAAAATTTCTTCATTCAAATTTTAATATGGTAACCAATTGGTGCCTCTCTCAATAAACTAAAATTTTAATTCGTAGAGAACGAATTTTTTTTCCTAATTGACTTGCAGTTCCACCTAACTACACACTTTTTTTAAAATATGTCGATGATGACATGTTAAAGCTAGCAACTGAAATAGTGAAATAGCATGGTGACTTGAACTACCGAGTCATTTGAATTCAAGAAATTAAGTTCCAGTAACTTCAACAAATTTTTTAATTTGATATCAATTCATTTGAATGCATGAAATTAAGACTGAGCAGCTAGGGCCATGGATTCAAAATGAAAATTTGTCTTTTCCCTTCCTTAAGAATGACCAAATTATATTTGCATAAATTTTATTTGTTATCACCATACGTGTATGTTGATTTGCAAAACAAAATGTATCTATTCCATCAATCCCGACAACTCACAGATCTGATCGGATCGCAATTCAGAGAAGTTTTCAAATAGATATCGACAATAGTTCAGTCACCATTTTACCAAAAATATATTATAATTTTAAATGCTTATCTCTGTCGAATCTTCTCGTCCATCCAGTGGATCCAGTTCTCCTTTTGAAGAGATATTTCATCATTCTTTTCCTCTTCACCAAGACAATTATCTAAAACACAAACATTATGCTGATGAGAAATGAGATGAATTTTTACTGACTAGTGTTTAACTTAACTCAAGTAAAGGATTTTTACTGACGAATGTTTAACTTAACTCAAGTAAAGGATTTTTACTGACGAGTGTTTAACTCAACTCAAGTAAAGGATTTTTACAGACGAGTGTTTAACTCAACTCAAGTAAAGGATTTTTACTAACGAGTATTTAACTAAACTCACGTAAAGGTGGAAAAACCCAAAGACACACACTTGCAAATTCTACCGAGCTAAACTCCCTCAAGACACGAGAAAAAAAAAATGATTACATGCACGTGGCCGTGTCCAAGAGTTAAGACGCGTTGAAGGTTTCGAAATGACTCTAATAGCCTTTCTAGTTTCGAATTTTCCGTACTTTCGGCTTCAGTTATGGCTAAAATGCTCTTTTCTTGTTCTCGAATTTGAGCGGCCGACTACTTGCGCACGTGGCAACTCGCCAAGGTAATATCCTGTAACTTCACTCTCGTATTTTCCAACAAAATTACAATATTTACCCTTACTGAAGAATAGTACACACTTCCATTTCCTCATGAACGTTTCTTCAAACTTCTTCCCGCTTCATTCTCGTCGTTATCAGAACCTCGTCATACATGTCTTCACACTTTGACGACAAGTTGCATGAATATGGATTAGAAACAACAACCAATCACTGATTTTGACGTAGGCACGACTTGTAACACATATTTAGCGTCGGCCAATGAACAGTAAGCCTTTGAAATAAATAATTTTCTTGTCTTTATTTTTAATTTTACAGGGCTGCTTAAAACGAATCATAATTTCTTCCGTTTTCATTATCTAGGAATAAATATTGCAAAAAAAATGCTGTACACTCACCATTTGAGGGAACAAAAGGGCTTGAGCGGTATTGATAAAAGCAGTCGTTTCTATCTCTAAACTTTAGAACGTTTTATTAATGAGTTAATTATTAATAGGGTGAGAAGAAAAATTCAGTGATATGTGGATTTGAAATGGAAAGTTAAAATATACGGAAGAGACAAGGGTAAGTTAGATTTAAAAAATAATAGAACAGAAATGAAAGGAGAAAAAGAGGGGAAAAGGAAAGGTTTATGGTGATGTTTCTTCGCTGTTCCTGTGCGGGGTTATTCCTGACATGATCGATTCGTGAGCGGAGCTCATATCCCCAGTGCCACGTTGCAGGTTGCCGGTGATTGGCGATTTTCAATATTTTAACGTAATGCAAAAAATTGAAAAACTTAAAGACAAGTCATACTGCACAACTTAAGTGCAGTGATAAAAATCAGTGGATAAAGAAAAGGAATGACAGAAGAACGAAAAAAACTACAGCAACAATTGAGACACACGTCGCGGTTCATCTTAAGCCCTGAGAAACTCTCGCGCAACTTACCTGAGTGTTTTTTCGGTATTCCTTCAGATAAAGAGACGATATTAGACAAAAAATTGCCCTCTTTTCACTGGTTGCCGAAAGAGAAAACAAGAGAGCACCTTACATGGGGGAAATTGGGTCAAGTTTGAACAATAAATTACTGCGAAGGATAAAAGAAATATTGTGCTAGCTCCATGACACTAATATCCTTTTGGACCCGGTTGTCTAGGCAACGGAAGTGTCAAGGTATTCTTTGGAAAATTTCTAATGAATCTTTCAATTAAAACTTTCAGAGAAAGGAAATTAAGGCTTGAGCCCTGATTTCCTCGCGTCTTTTAATATCCTGGTTGTCACCAGTCTTTACCTAAAGGAGGGGAAATGTATTAAAGATTTCTTTACGTAGGATAAACTGTAGACTTCATTAAGAAAAATCACACAGTATAGTTTATTTTAAATTTTATTTCTTGGTAAAATTTGCGGTAAAGTACTTTCAATTCTAAATTGTAATTTATGCGTAAAGTAACGGCTTCAAAGGAAAAAACAATTTCAACAATATTTGTTATCAAAAAACGTGACTAGGTGTCATACTGTCTTATGTACCTTTTATTGGTGAAGATAGAAATTTTATAGTTTCTGGAGCAAAGTTCTTCTTTAGGGTGCGTAAAACGCTAGACTGATATTCGTTTGAACAGGTTGTGGTCGAGAAACGAATTAGAAATCACGTTCAACTCTTAGTTTTAAGACCCTTGCGATTACAAGAAGCTGTTTATTTTCAGGACAAGGGTTAATTTTCAGTGTGATATCTAAGAGTATGGCTAATACAGTTCTGTAAGGTTACGAATGAAAATACATGAATCCCGACAGATGGATGCCTTTTCTAAGCTTTCATCAGCTTCATACTTGTAGTGTCGATTGCTCTTAGTCACTCACGATCGTCACGATGGTTGTGAATTGATAAATAAAGATGAAAACCTTCCACGACACACAATAAATTACTACTCCTTTGAAATTTGGTATCATGTGACGAGTTCAGGAAAATAAGCCGCGATCGATCTTGATGCTTCCCTAAAAGTTCACGTAACAAGGCACAAAGAAATGTTCGGCAGTCCAGTTTCGTAGCCTCTCTTGAAATTGTTATTCACTCCGCCCCTCCAACCTCCCAGAAACAAAAAAATGAGTGTGATTGGACAAAACGGAGAGTAAAATATATCTCTGATGACAACAGTTGTTTCTTTGGGGTATTACTAAACTAAAAAAATTGTTGGATAAGGGGCACCTCTTTGACAGAATCAAGGCGCTACACAATGTATATCGGATTAGGAGTGATTACGGTAAAAACCTTTGCCTGCAAACTCTATTGGCGACTTGGTTGCACTTCCACATCTCTCACATGAGTTTTCATACATAACAGCCTTCTGACCTGGTCACGGAATTGAGTGTGCCTGAAGCCATAGATCCAAGGGTTTGTCACGCAACTTAAACTCATGAGGAAAGCCGCTGACAGGTCAACTGAGTCTGGAATGTTTCCGATACGGGCCACACGTAGAAAGTGAATAACGCAGATCGGAATCCACGTGATGATGTATACGCCAATCAGCAAGAGGACTGTCTTGGCAACATTAACCTGGAAAAGCCAAAATAAAAAGAATGCAAAAAATATTGCAATAGAATCTTTAAATTAGTACTGTTACCTGTTTGAACCCGGAGCCCATTAGGTAATGGGCTCCTGTTTGAACTCGGTATGTTGATTTTTACAAATCGTTGACTTAGGATAATCAGTCTTAACTCACGTAAAAAGGGTTTTTACATGGCACCCGTACTAACAAGAGAGGAAAGTATATTTAATGATAACTGCTTCTCAGAAACCTCTTCATAATTTTCTATGTCGATGTTTCCTTTCCCCCGGACGGAGCCACCCATTTTAAGAGTTCGATCTCGTCAACAGTTCGCTATGGGCTCCTTTTCAAGTTTAAATCCATAATGGTAAAATTAAGCCACCTTCCCCGCCCTCCCTCCCCCCCTCCACCACTCCTAAACCCCCCCCCCCCTCCACCCACATTCCCAATTCCTCTTCGTAGTTTTATCCAGATAAAAATTATGTAATGTACTAATCCCGTTCAATATCTTCAAATTCGTTTTATTGCACTTTTGGAATTCTGATTTGTCATATATAACAAAATTTCGTACTTGATGGAGTTCAGGCGGAATAAAGCAAAAGGAAAAGCGAGGGAAAAACGATTAGCAAAATTCGAAAGAATATTTCAGTGGAACTGGTAAACTTCTGGTTTGACACAACTTGAAATATATACCGCATTTGTTATTAACAAATCACCTGCCGCATTTTTTTTCTTCGACGATAAGCTTCACAAAAAAGCCGCTTGCTTTCAACGAAATCCTGTATTTCCCGGCACATTTGTGAAACAAAAGAATGGTTCATTTAGGTACTCTCTTAGAAGGTTTTTAAAAGCCTTCCTACACTTTAATCATATCTTGTCTCATTCCCCCTCTTATCTTAAAAAAAAATCAAAGATAAACTTTCTTGAAAATTAACACAGCAACATTAACTGTTTGTCTTGGACTAACAAGCAATCAAATTTAGGACAGGCTTTCGAATATAGTAAAACTCTCGCATTTTGTCGATGACCTCAACGAAAAATTAGCGAAAAGCCTCTTTTAATATAAATAAGTAACTCATAATAATCAAAATCAAAGGTAAAAAAGATACAGATATCTCAGGACCTACATCCACTTGTTAGTACATATGGTTTTTGTGATATCGAGAGCGCGAGATAGCGTGACGCGAACGATCTTTGAATTTATTTAACAAATACGAGTACAAAGTTTCAAATTAAGACGAATTCCAACCTACCTCTTTCTTCAATCTTTCGGCGTTTTCCGAACTAATGTTGACTGGTAGTGTTCGGATGCATTCAACACGGTTTTTGCTCCTCTTCATGGCTTTGTAGATCTTCACGTAACACCAGATGAGCACAGAGAACGGTGTTGTGATGAATGTTATCACTAGAAAACTTGTGTATGAGTAACTGCTTCCCACTGCTATAAAACAAGTCGCGCGTGAGGCGAAGAAACCGTAGTGGCCCCACCCTAAAATTGGCGGAATGGCAATGAAGACGGCCAGAAACCAAAGAGTGAAAAGCATAACTTTGGTCCGTCGCAGACTGAAAAACGTAGAGCTTTCGTTTGCTCGCACGATTAAAAAGTATCTGTTCACACTTATGAGCGTCACCGACATAAGAGAAGCAACCAGGAATACGAGGGTGTAGGAACCGTTTACATGACAAAACGCGTCGCCAAAAACCCATCGCCTTTTAATAAGAACACCCGCAGAGACAGAGAGAGTGAAAAAAATCCGGAGAAGATCTGACACACTAAGGTTTACAATCAGGTAGTTCGGTATTGTTTGTAAATGACGATGGGTATAAACCATAGCACAAATGCCGAAGTTACCAACGAGTCCGAAAATGATTATAAGAAATACAACCGCGACCCCGAGGACTGTGAACACAGGAGATCCATGAGCCAGAGGCGGAAAATACGTAGAACTATCCATCAAGAATCCTCCTTAGAAGAAAAAATAAATTCCTTTTTATGAAGTCGGTAACGGCGTACAGGTGTTGAAATTTGCATGCGCTCTTTTGACCGCAAAACTTTTCCTAAGTAAATAGAGGATGCAACATCAAGATATCTGCCTTGCCCATTGACGAAAAACGATTAAAAATCTGACAACAGTAATTAGAAATGGGTGAAATCAGTGAAATATTGTAAGCCACTTAAAAATTATTTTGCAAGAAGTAGGATTGAATGACACTTAAAACGCGTAAAACACGTCGCTAATAATTCTACGCAATTATCATAGCAAAATCTGATATTTTCACGTTTTTGTGATTCGAAAAGCATTCAATTTGTAGTATTTGACATATGCCGGCAGATAGTAACAATTCTGATTACCTTTTTTGATATCTCCACTCTTGAAAGTAAAACAAACTGACACCGGCGGGCAATCATTTAAGAGTTTGCCAAGGCGTCCATGTACGTAATACAGCAAACTGTCACAGTTTCGATATCAGTTTGAGCAAAGTCTTCCGAAGACATTTCTTGTGATGACATATAATTTTTAATGTAAATACGTCATCGTATTCAACGACATCAATTCATTCTACAGAGAATCTCGATCAACGAAAAACACAAATATATACAAGAAAATATTCTAAAAAAGGAGCGGACCAAAAAACGCATAAAAACGCAACCAAAAAAACTTAAAAAGAACAACTAAGGAACGAAAATTAGAGCAATTACAAAACATCGTACAAATTGACTATCCACTTCATGGCGAGACTTGACTGAGGTTTTTCTTCTGAGAGACATTTTCTGAATTAGGACATCGAATTGGATTCGATTTAAGGTCCGTGTTATATCCGTCACTGATAAAACGAGCAGAAGAAATGTGATATTTAATCCACCGTTATCTGTCGTAAATGTCTGACAATTTGGGTGACCACGTTAATATCACTTTCCATGATCTGTGAGCCTCCCAGGAACGGAAATTGAGTTCAGTAATGCTGTGACGCTCAGGATCTAACACACACAAAAAAAAAGACAGATGCCACAAACAAGAACTCACTTAATATTTATTTTGTCGTCAAGAACTCTCTAAAATCGCAAAATAGTTTTTAATATTAAACTATTCATATCATGTAAATTATTGTAATAAAAAAATTCCGTGTGACTCGTGAGACCGGTAGAAGAGATTTACTCTTTCACATCGTTAACATGCTCTAAAAAATGACAATTCTCTCATTTCGGTATTCATCAAAAGTGTTATAATCACCTATAATCACCAATCTTTGAGTACTTTGGGGAAGGAATCACAAAAAACTGAAAACTAAAATTGAGCACAATCGTTCACAACAAAAAGATGTGACACAGAACAGAGTAGCAAATGCAGCGCAGACAAACAAAGATTATGAAAACAGTTTAAAAATATCAATGAAACTAGATTTCTATCAAAAATTACAGCACAGCTGAAATTTCATGTGAAGTGTAATGAAGCGCATAAAATTAAAAAAAAACCCTTTGTGCCACTGTAGTAATAATTATTGCCACATTTAAGACATATGTCTTTTGTTTAACAAGTTTATGGAAAATCATGACCAACATTTTGTTTCGCCTATCGCGTGGTTCTCGTTCGCGATAATCTTGCTCTGCCACGCGTGAGGCGCATACTGCCACGCGTGGCTGGTATTCTGCAAATTTTAAGTTTCATTTTCACTCGTTTCGAGTACCCGTAAGATTACCTGTCCTGCAGGATCACGGGAAGCTAAATTTAAATTTCAAAAACCATTCATGCATTCTGTCTATTTTACTACGCCCACACGCGTTATCCATGCAATCAGAGAAAAGGCGCCAGTGGGCATTCACTTCATCTCACAATTGATTCCCATGTAAACTCTCCCAAAAATTCAAATACATTTTCCCTCAAGAAAACGACGAGAAAAGACATACTCATCAATTAATAGCCTGGATTATTTTAAAAAATTACCATATTCGGATCACTAATTCATAAGGAAAATATAGTAGCAAGGAATGAGACTTACTCATCAGTTCTTAACAATTAAAGGGTGAACTCTTTCCTTCATCAGCCCTCCCATCGTAAAAATCTTTATTTCACTTTATTGCAATCACAGCCCCCCTATTATCATCAATCCTTTCTATTTTTGATCGAAGAACTTCTTTCGAGTTTCGTTTGGTCTCAAATGGAATTTCCTTCCATCGTTTAACGTATATTTCTAAATAAAGACTACAGTCTATATAAAATATCGAGGAAGTAAGACAAACGCTCTGAGATCTAAAATTGGTATAAAAATAGATAACATGTAGAAAAAATTACCTTCATTTTTTTTTCTCTATTATTCACGTTCAGTGACCCCAATTTATTCTCACGAAAAGATTTAGTACTCTTACTACCACCAATTTGTTTGGCGTTCAAAATATTGAGTAATGAACTTGGCCAAGCTCAACAAATGAATTCTCCTTCAATTCCCTTGGTTTTGAATCAATGTGTCCCTCGAGATGACCCATCTTTTGTCATTCTACGCTTGTAGAAAAAATTGCGTGGTAGAAGTTCACTGGAAATTGGCGTATAAATCAAAGGAATCTAAATACTCTTGCAACGTTGTGTAGCAAAATTCATACTGCTCCTACAAGAAAAGATGGATGGAAAAGTTGGTAAATAAAATCCATGGGGCAAATGCTATGACATTATAAATTATTCAAACCGATGAGGCGGCAAATTTGATAGTCCAGCGGTTATCGGCCGAAAAAACACTGAATTGTTCAAATTAATGATAAAAGCAAGAAACTTTGCCACAATACTTATGACCTTACAACCAACATTTTCTGATATAGGGCCAATCCAAATTAACTTCTGAAGACGAGCACCACCCATGTCAGAAATTCGCTAACATGGAAACGAGGCTAAGAATAAAGAAAAGGGGCAGGTTTCTAAAGAAAATGTGGTGCTGCGTAGGTAGGAGTTTTACAAGACAATTTGGTGTTATCAACTATGTTTATAATTTAACTTGGCCACCGTAGAAAAGTTGACGTTTCGAGCCCTTCGTCAGAGCGAATGACGAAGGGCTGACGCTCGAGACGACAGCTTTAAAAATTCTTCACGGTGACCAATTTACATTATCAGTTTAGTTGGTAAAACAAAATCATTTCGTTCTGCACAGCTTTCCACAGGAGCGACTATATACAAGGAAAAGGAAGTAGATAAATCTAATCGCCCCAACCTCTCCAAAAAAAAGAGGGGAAATAGAGAAATACAAATATTTAAAAGATGTACAAGTCAAGATGTAAATTTACGGCGTGCAATCGTTGTTAAAGGCTTGTACTTGACATGGAGCAAAAAACAGGACAAGGACATTTTTGGGAGATCGAGTTGTGCGTATTTTGTTACATAAAGTAGCTCTTAAATTCTTTCGCGGTTATTGTAACAGATCTTTACGTCTTACCGCAGTCTGCACCATGGCAGGTCTCTGGAGCCTCATAGCTTGAACCGTTTGGAACACGTCAATCACTCCTTCAGCCTTGAGGCGCTCTATCATGATGCTGATCCCACAGAACACGCCCGTACGGCCGACACCACCACTGATGACATAAGTGAGATGAGCAAGTTTCATCTTGGGAGTTTGCAACTTAGTGTTCCCTTCCGGGAAGGGAGAGTGATGGGATTGTCCATTATAGCCTATACGGGGAAGCTTTCCTAAAAGGGTAGCGAGTTCATACCTTAACGACCTATCAGCGGTTTGTGATTTAAATGCTGCTGACTAAGCCTGGGATTAGGGGGAATCAAGATGGCAATTCTTGCATTTCGTAACTTTGCTTTTTTTCTTAGATTTCAAACTCTGAGAACAATTTTTTGGAAATTGAACACTTAAAATTGGAAATGAAGCCATGTAGTCGACTTTGTGTCACACTTCAAGACAAGACTAAAATATCGCAGCTTTCTGCAGCATAAACATCAAAGCTAGTTGGCATATAAGTAAACAGTTTTCTGTAGCCCTTATTCTGCTTCATTCTTACCTGCAGTGTATCACGATGGCTGTATTTCCACTCTGTTGCTGCCATTTCTGTACTTGACCGATCAGATCCACTATTCCCACTCCAGAGTCCGGGAGTCCAGTGTCCGGCCAGTCTGTGTACTGGAACTGACACACAGTGTGCGAGTTCTTCTCCTGTAAGATAGAGATCGAGATGGTTCTAAATACTGAAACAAATCAACCTGACAAATCAACCGCCTTCCCCCCCTCCCCCCAAAACCAACCCTTAACATAAATCAACTACGACAAAAAAATCTATTTTTTGGAACTTCTATACCTCCGTATGTGTGAGTTTAAATTTCCTGGTAATGTAATCAGCAAACGAGTTTTCCTCTATTAACTCCACAAGAATGACGCCGTACAACCGAGATCCCTCTGAAGGCCAGTAATGGTGACATTTCACCTGACAGAAAAAAGCAACAGTAAGCATAATTCAACTTCTTTTTCGCATTAATTCAAAACCTTGCGAGCTAACTGACTAATTGACTCACCGACTGTCTGACTGACTGCTAGCAGATGACCTCTGGACGTGCGAACGTACCGACGGACTGAATATGAACTAGCAGGTTGGCGGGCTGACCGGAAAAGCTGACTGATTTGACTGATCTGAACGATTGCCCGACTGACCTCACTGATTGACAGACTTGATTGACTAAGTGACTGATGAACGGACTCACGAACTGACTAGCCGACCGAATACATGACTGACTGCTAAATGGGTGAAAAACGGAATGGCCTCTCTGATTGTCTGACTAACTCACTTTAATGACTGACTCAAGAATGACAGGCTGATGATTTATTTGCAGTGCAAGTCCTCTTACACTGCTTAATTCCCTATGCCTCTATGACGAATTAAGTCTTTTCTGAGCGCAGTTTCCAATTCGGTTTTCAAATCACGTGCGGGTGGAGAATTTATATGGCGATCATACTAAATAAAATTGAAACTTGCGCT